GCGGAGGGGATGACCGGCCCTGCTCCTGCCTGGTGGTAAGGAACTGTCATGTTGAGTTTCACGACACACCAGCTGAGCTGGGGAAATGAAAATGCAAACATAATTTTCATGTCAGGCTGCATAAGAGCCGACGGTGCTGAGTTCCACCCTGCAAGGAGCGGACAAGATCTACTCTCTGGGCTGCGCCGCCCCGCCCTGCCACGCTCATCACATCTTCAGCAAACTCCATAACCAACCGGAGCGGGCAGGAGGAAAAAGAGAAGAGGAAAAAATGCCCCGAAGACTCCAAAAAGCCGCAACCCCTCTCAGTGTGGCAGGCGACTGTTGTTTACAAAACAGGCATGCCAAGGATTGCCCTGCTGGAAACTTCCTAGTGAAGGCTCATAAGTTCAAAACAGGAATTAATACCCTTTGTGATGCTGAGCACCTTGAGAGTCTTTAAAGCTTGTGTAATGAAGGGATAAGTCTCGGCAGGTGGAGTGGAGGGACTGTTATTGTCATTGTAACTTAGAGCGGAGGCAGCTAACTCACTCGTTCAGGATATTTGCTCCCTAAAGCCTGCACTTGCAGAGATAACAAACTCTTCTTAATAGTGTGCAGTGCACCAGAGCTATAATGAGTGCTCCATTGCTCCCTACTCCTTGTCAACGGCTCTCTGGGCTTTGACTGCAGTCAAAAGAGAGCAAGAAAGACATAGTGTCAACTTCTCATGCATCTCATTTTCATACTAATAATTCTTTGTCTGGCTTTGGCAGAAAGGAGCATTACCATCCTGAGTGATGCATGCACAGAATCAGAACAAAAAGTGCACGAGGGCTGTTTCAGAAAGCGCCCATCAGGGAACATTACTTCTGTAAGACAGAGTGCATTTACTGCCACACGTTTCAAGCATTCAGCAAAATTACTGCATCCAGGGGAGTAGTATTTATTTCAGCAATAACTGGGCTACTATAATGTGCAGGTATAAGACCACCATATCATGCTTAGCGCAGGGATGTGGTGATATTTATGCTTTCTGACCCATTTGGAGTGTGGGAACACATAATCTGAAATTTAGCGGAGAGTGTCACTAAATCGCCAGTTAAGTTGTGGAAGTATAAGAGAAAATAAGATAAATAAGGCAGCCCTTCTGCCCCACGTGTTCAAAAGAACAAAACTGTAATTTTTGGGAAAACTGCCATAAAATAGAATTACAAATGGTACTTGTAGTCACTGTGGCTTTTTTTAATACAGGTAATAAATTACTTGGGGTGTGAAACATGGCCACAAAACAAATATAAATTAAAATAAACTATATAGAAAAAAATATGCATAATAAATATATACACACCACAGTTAAATTATCACTGAGATACTATTATATTTTTATCAATATTTTGAATCTTTTGAATTCTCTATTTAGTAATTTTGTGTTTTTGTAATTTTTTAGTATTTTTTTTTATTTTAATTTTATTTTTAGTTTTTAGTTATTTTAGTAGTTCCAGTTAAACTAAATTAAAATGAGAAATGTTGCTTTGCCAAAAAGCTGAAATAAAAAAAGTTTTTGCATTTTATTTCAGTTAACATTTTTTATGGTTTTTAATTATATATAATTACATATAATTTAATTATATACATATTTAAATTATGCATTATATATATATATATATATATATATATATATATATAATATATAATATATATATATATATATATATATATAAACAAAATATTTTAGTTTGTCTTGTATATTTTTTTCATTCGATCAGATAAGATTTTAAGCTG